AGCAAGGAATGTCTCTTCCAAAGACTAGGGCTAAATTTTATCTGATAAAAACAAAAGGAAAGCTTAATCATAGTAACTGATGGACAGAGATAACAGAACAATATAACAAACAAAACTTTCAAATATGTTTTAACTAAGCATGCAATCAGTTTGGTGGCAGAACATTTAGTCTGTGATTCTCGATGGGGCTAAGCTATGGGATAATGTTGATATGCCAAGACTTAAACGATTCCACTCATTCTCAGTAGTATAAATGGTGTTAGCCAGCATTTCTGTGGAAATTTCAGATGTATCTACACTGGAGTGAGACCATGACTGCAGCTTATGTATATGTACCCAAGCTAGCTTTAGGATACCTAGATCAGTCTGGTGTAATCACAATGGGAATAGGCTCATGCTGAAAAAATACAACCTTCAAAACAAAAAAGCCCAAACCACTTCTCTGCTGAGTTTGATGTTTCTTCCTTTCGACTGCTATAACTAGAACTTGAATTGGTTGTTTTGTTCAATGTAAACTAGTCACATACAGTTTCAACAACTAGATATTAAAAGAATATTTTTCCTGTTACTTTCTCTTTCCAATAAATGCTTCAGCATTAGAATAAGTTCTTGATCTAAATTTTATACCTAGATTTTGAGTATTATAGTGTACTCTTAACTACCTTTCTCTTTTGCTTAGGCCAAGTACGCAGAGTATGAAATAGTATTGCAAGTTGAATAGTCTCAGGGTTTTTAATAACAAAAGAGAAAAGCAGTAGGAACAAAAGACACTGTCAGTGATGTCGGAGTGTTCAGAATGGATTTTTCTGTCTAGCAAATCAACATGTAACTATGTCCTATAGTCATCAACTTTCAAAATATCAGACAATTTGCAGTGATTTCTTTTGGTAAAATGCACCTGGAATGACGAAACAAAAAAGATCCTGGTTCAACATTCTTAATGAAGGAGTTAGTGGAATGCTGCTATTCCTTTTTGTTTAGGATCAAATTCAGTTCTAGAGGCCTCAGTATGCTCCAACTCCTTTTGTATTTGATGAGATGACTAAAACAGACTAAGAGTAACCAGGCAGGAGATTTTACTACATTGTAATTTAGTAGGAAGCCTTATCAAGACCAGCCAGATCAGCAAGATTTCAACATACTAATCTGTATGCAGTGAAGTCTCAATATATAAAGCTTATGTGTTCATACTTTATGACTGAACATATCATTATGTGCATAAATCTTTATATACTGAGACTTCAGGGAAGAAAACTTACCTATGTATAACTCCTGCATTATGTTTCACATATTAGAATTTTATGATTTTTTTCATTTTAATTGTAAATTTTCATAAGCCGGTAACTGCAAATAGAAATTATTGTGTCTCTTATTGAGTTTGTTGATCACAGGAAGGCACTGAGGTCTCCATAATCTATAACAGAAGGTCTTAAAATTCTTCTTCTAGCAGAAATTCTCATTCCTGCAAAGAGCAGCTAGACTGAGATCAGCAAATAATGTACAGATTATGTCCTATAGGCCCTCCAGTCCCAGTTTGTCATGGGAATAGCTTGTCAGTTGATAGAGAAATTAAAGCAGTAAGAAACAGGAGAAGAGAGGGAGAGATATTTCTGTATTAGACTTCTCTTTTTCTCTCCACTCAATGGTAGATTATATACTCATCTC